GAAATTAAAGGTTCAAAATTATATTCTTTTTAAAAAATTTGTGATTTTAATGAATATATTTATACTCCGTGCTGAAATGTGAGATTTGAACCGCCAATTTCACTCGTAGAGGTGCACTCAATAATTATTGCACCATAGGAGTCTTTGAGCATAGGTGCTTGCAGATATATTTAAGTAATTTTGAAGTGATGTAACATTGTTGTACATGGTTTAGAGAGGAGTATGGGTTCGCGTGAACCCATATCCTAAGACATAGTCAATTGAAAATTATTTTTGCATCCACGATGTAATTTGTCAACGTGATTCTAGATACTGCCCATACACATGTCAAAGGATCAGAAAGAAAATTGAAGTGAGCTGATCTGTGGCTGTCTTATAGCATTAAAGTGATAATGAGCTGTATTCTCCAACTTTTCAGGCTCAGGTTGTCACATTTTCGTTCCGTTTGATAAATTACAAAAATGAAATCCAAGTCTGAGTACAACACTACCCCCACAGGAATATATCCTCATTAAAGTAGAACTACTAAACTTTTAAACTAACTCAAGAAGTTGCTAAAATTGCACATGTTACCAGCCTTCCTCTGGTATATTGGAAGTCACCCACACCATAAATAAGCAATGCATCCAAACTTGAGGAATAGACCAGGCCCAAACTTAAGACAGTAACACAAAACTGGCAATAAGAAATCGGGCGCAGTTTTTCCAGTTCTTCGTGTCATTCAGTTATTTCCCAGCAGATGTGTCCGACGTGACTTCTTCAGTGAATTAGATAACGGGAATCTGTATATTCGTACAACATCATTGCAATATTACTACAAGTTATCCTGCATGCTTAAATCAGCCAACCTATCAGTATTCTGGCATTTAGCTGATTGAACAGGAATAGTGCTTTTGCGCCAATTCCAATAGTTTATTCTCATTGGATCAGCATGTTCCAAGATGGAACAAATTCTCTTCGCCAAGGGTAAATCCGGAGAGCATGACTGTGGAGTAAGAACATCTACTGCACTTTTTAATTCTTCCCTTGGTTCAAAACCATGACTGAGAAGATCCAACAGCAAGCTCAGAGCATGCACATGATTATTTTTGGAGGTTAAAACATCCAAAAGCACCGATGCTACTTGAGAATCCTCAACTAGAGATTGTGTATCATTCTTGTAAAGACCACGAAGATACCTCCAAGGACTTTCATTCTCCGGACTAGCTCTGAGGGCTTGAACTGTGTAATTCACTTCTAATTCCCTCATTGCCGCTAGGCCCCCTAATAGAGGTGATCGTGTCACAACAAAGTATCTCTACAAGAAACAAAGTAAAGTGAGAAGCTACACTACCTTCACAAAGGAATTTTTACCCTTTTAACTTTTTAAAGTTAATAGTCATAAAACATTTGTTAGAGATGAGCTCCTTTTGAAAATGTCAGGGGGTACTGATATCAGTTAGGAGTTTTAGAATAACTAAAGCAAAAAAGGAATGGAACTTTTACAGCTAATTGTTGCTTGAGAGTCGAGACTAAAATGAGTGAACACCGTCAAATAGAAGCAGCACTACTCGGTTGCTGTGCATTTCTCCTAGCTGCTATATAATAAGTAAACATGGTAATGAGTCTCATGCACACTTCTTTATGCATCCTTTAGCAAATGAACTTGACGGAGGTTATTTGCAAATATGGAGACTTATATGTCAACCCTAGAAGTCCTTTCTCATTAAAATTTCATGGGTTTGGGACAATGAAGAAGTAGAAGCTTTATGGAAGAGTATTATGCTTGTTCTGTGCTGTATTTTGGGTACCACTAGAGGATTCCAGCACAGACTCCGCGTCCAGCTTTAGATTGAGAAAAATCCATTTCTTGCCATCTTATCGTTTTCAGGCATACTTTTAACAAAGCTCCCAAGGGAGTGGTATATGCTTCTTGTTTGGAGATTTTTTTGTTTATACCTTCTGATTCTGTCAGTTGAGGACATCTTGTTCCTCTCAGTCCTTTTCTTTTACTATCAAAGAATTATTTATTCTCATAAAAAACGGAAAAGAAGTTCAATCATTACCTGATTCCAAGCAGAATTGTTGTAAATATCATCTTCGAGGAGTTGTTGACAATAGGCAAGCTCATTTTCCCATCCGCCAAGAGCTTGAAGGACCCACTTCATAAATAGGAAAAAAGAAGATCAGTATTCTGGTTTGCTAACGAGAAACAACAACAACAACAACAACAACAACAACCCAGTAAAATCCCACAAGTGGGGTCTGGGGAGGGTAGAGTGTACGCAGACTAAAAAGTAGGATAGAGAGGCTGTTTCCGAAAGACCCTCGGCTCGAGAAGAAGAAAAATAAACAATAGACAATACTAAAAAGTAGGATCCAAACTCATTTTTCGCAGGTTCCAGGTTAGATCACAGAACTGTAAGATTATCCCAAGAATAGATAAAACTAATTAATCCCTTTGTCTGTGCTTTTATCATCTTGATTTGACTGGAAATCGACTTTAAAGGTATAGTTGAAATTGTATAGGTAAGCAGCACAAAGTTTTGGAGTGTATATCCCTATTGTTTATGCTTTTATAGGTAGTGTGTTGTTAAAGGCTCATGTAAAGCGCTGAAACAATGACTATGTACAGTGCAAGTTGACGTTTCGTCTCTGACGCTATAATGCAGCACCAAGGCGCTAAGGCAGCCACCTCTGGCTCTTGAAGATAGCGACACTACTCAATATACATAGCTGCCAAGTGAGATATTAATTGTCAAAGAAATGAACTGAATAATTTGCGATGTAACTCGGAAAAGGAAACAAGGAATTCTTTCTTTTTCTGATAAAAGTAGTGATATTCAGGCTAGCTTGTGCATACTTCGACTATTCCACCAGATACCTACTATCTCCCACCAGCAAAAGTACTGAGTAACTCTATCCCCAAGGCATAGACAGATAGGAAGAGTCATCTAGAGGGACTTAAACCCTGGTCTCCAAGATTTAGAGCCACTTCATTGACCACTAGGTCACTCTTAGGTAAAGAAAATAAGGAACTTAACACAAGAAAACCAGTTCTATTGCCAAATCAAAAACTTTAAATTTTCTTCTTTGCATATGAATTAGAAATTCAAAAAGATTATTGAACTTGATTTACTGTTACTTCATATATTTTAAATTGTATCATTCATAAGATTATATCTAAGGTGCTTTCCAATAGACTAAAGTACGTATTGGATGTGACAGTATCTACTTCACAGAATGCTTTTGTGGATGGAAGACATATTCTAGATGCAGCACTAGTGGTTGAAGTGGTTGACTCGAGAAGGAAGCTAGGAGAAACGGGGATATTGTGTAAACTGGACCTTAAGAAGGCCTACAATTATGTTAATTGAGAGTTCCTTGATTTCAATATGTTGAGGATGGGATTTGGTGCAAGATGGAGGAAATGGATCGAGATTTGCATTTCAACAACCAGGTTCTCTGTTCTTATGAATGGTAATCCATGTGGTTTCTTTGGTAGCTCGAGAAGGATGAGACATGGCGACTCGTTATCCCCTATGTTGTTCATTTTAGTGATGGAAGTGTTGAGAAGGATGATGGTCAGGGCTGGGACTGGGTTACTTAGGCTTTTTTTTTTTTTTTGCAGTGATTGGTGGTCAAAGTATTGTGAGGGTGTCTCATCTTTTGTTTGTGGATGATACTTTAGTGTTTGTGATGCTGACAAAGCACAATTGTTCATCTGAGACAAGTGTTGACTTGGTTTCAGGTAGTGTAAGGGGTAGAGATCAACCTCAAAAAATGCGAAATTATCCCAGTGAGCAAGGTTGAGAATATAGAGGTCCTAGCGCAAGTGATGAATTGTAAGATTGGGGATCTTCCTTCAACTTATCTGGGACTACCGCTGGGAGCATCTAATAACGACCTAGCAGTTTGGAACCCGGTGACAGAGAGGGTAGAAAAGAGGCTTGCAAGTTGGCAAAGGAGATATTTATCTAAAGGGGGGAAGGAAGTGTTAATTAAGAGTGCTCTGCCGAGCATCTCCACTTATTTTATGTCTTCGTTACACGCTCCACCTAGCGTAATACGAAAGTTGGAAAAACCTCAGAGGGACTTCTAAGGCATAGCTCAAGTGGGGAGATGAAGTTTCACTTAGGTAATTGGGAGTCTGTTACTAAGTGTTGGGGTGAGCTGGAGACAAAAGATCTAAGTTTTCAACAAGGAGTTACTAGCAAAGTGGTTATGGAGATTCCGGGTACAGGTGGATGCTCTTTGAAAGGGGTGATTGTGGAGAAGTACGGGGTTTTGGAAGGGGGTGGAGCACTAAAAATGCTTCACTTCCCTATGGGTGCGGTTTATGGAGGATATTATAAAGGGATAGGAAGAGTTTGATGAGAACATTTCATCAGAGTGGGGGATGGGAGAATAAGCTTTTGGGAGCATAGGTGGTGCAGGGACAACATTTGAGAATCACATAACCGAACCTGTACAATATTCCTGTAACACTCCCCAAATTTATAAAAGATTCGAGACACGCTAACTATAGAACTAATTTATTACTATTGTTATTATTTTTATATTGCCTATAGTGAGATATATATATATATATATATATAATTGGTTATACAATTAAGAAAATGTTAATAGTTTTAATATTATTAAATTTAAAAAAAAAAGGTATCATTAGTTATTAGTAATTAAAAAAAAAAAGGAAAAAAGGCTTAAAAGCCCATAAGAAGGGATGTTGGAAACAAAAGCCTCCAAACCTTAAAAGAGAGGCAGAACGTTATCAGAATGACGGAAAGCAAAAGCTAAAAAAAAAAAAATAGAATTGTTCGCTCACGAAACAGAGACTTCGTTTATCACACAGGCAACGGAAAAATCTAGGGTTTCTTACAAATCACTAATTCTTGAACTCAGGTATGTAAAATCCCCTGTTGTCAATTACTCTACAATAGTAATAGGTAAGAATAGAATAGTTAATTCTNTATATATATATATAATTGGTTATACAATTAAGAAAATGTTAATAGTTTTAATATTATTAAATTTCAAAAAAAAAGGTATCATTAGTTATTAGTAATTAAAAAAAGAAGGAAAAAGGCTTAAAAGCCCATAAGAAGGGCTGTTGGAAACAAAAGCCTCCAAACCTTAAAAGAGAGGCAGAACGTTATCAGAATGACGGAAAGCAAAAGCTAAAAAAAAAAAATAGAATCGTTCGCTCACGAAACAGAGACTTCGTTTATCACACAGGCAACGGAAAAATCTAGGGTTTCTTACAAATCACTAATTCTTGAACTCAGGTATGTAAAATCCCCTATTGTCAATTACTCTACAGTAGTAATAGGTAAGAATATNTTCTTACAAATCACTAATTCTTGAACTCAGGTATGTAAAATCCCCTGTTGTCAATTACTCTACAGTAGTAATAGGTAAAAATAGAATAGTTAATTCCCTTCTCCCTCTATATCAACAATAGATTTCATATTTAGGTGTAGTACTTTAAAATTGATTAAAATACACTGATTGTTGTAGAAACGATTGTTTGACAGGTATAAATTGGACTGGAGTCTACATATTGGCCCAAGGAGTATTGAGGTGAGTTGATATAACCCTTTACTAAAGTGGTTTAACTCACAAAAGCACGCATACAAGGTGTTTGATGAATTGCTTAAAAGAGTTTATCTTTATTTAATTAGAGCGAGTGAGTACCCATTAATTTAGAATTGTTCTAGCAAAAGTTTAGATGATCTATTATGCTATATGTGCTTAAATTTTCAGATTTTTGTGTTATTCTTATATGCTATTTTCATGTTGAAGATTATGAAGAAGAAAGAGTCTTTAGAAATATTTTTATATGTTTATTTCATTCTTATGTCATGCTTTACATTTAAGGGCACCAATATGAGCATGTACATAATGTTCTATAAAGAAAAGATTTAGACTTGAAAAAGTCACAAGGAAGAAGTTTTAGAAAGAAAAGATTTTTGGGGAGTATCCGTTATTCTGAGAAGGGGTCATCGTCCAGGCCGAGGGTCCTGACCAAGGCGTTGACTTCCTGAAACTACTTGTGCCAAAGTAGGGAGCACATGAGCCGAGGGTCTCATTGCTGAGAATTTACTTAGCCATGCTAAGGTATGATACATGAGCGCTGAGAACCATGAAGCGAGTGGCACCTCGTGGATTGGACCTATTCGATCAGGTTGGGATCGAACCCGTGCCGATCACACGGTGACTGAGACAGAATTAAGTCAGGATAGTTGGAACTCCCAAAGTATAAAGTGAAGTAATTTTTTTGTAAAGAAAGAAAAAGAAAAGAATTTCTTTTAGAATATTCGTAAATTGCTATTATGCAATTATTTTAGAATTATTCTTATAAGCTTTATGTTTTACATGCATTTAGAACATTTGCTCGTAATGTATATGTTATTAAAGTTTCTCCCCCTGTTGTTGAGACTCACTGAGTATAATGGATGGTACTGACGTTCTCTTTTGGGAACCTACGTTGGTCTGCGGTACAACGTAGGAACCGGATTTGCAGGCGAGCAGGCTACGAGTTAGGACTTCCTTCCCTTCCAGTGATATTGGTGAGCTCCGCTTTTGTTCGTGGAGTATTCTTAGAGTCATTTTCATTTAGCTATTTCTTTGTTTATCTAGAGAACTGACCAGGAAATCTCATGTCCTGAGCAGTGCGTCAGTTTATCAGTAGAGGCTTCATAGACATAGTCATTGGGTTGAGATTCATATGTTATTTTATAATAACTTAGCAATAATTCAGTAGTTACTATGAATAAAGTTTTGGAGTTGATTTATTTAAATATTTGAATTAATCAAGAGTATTTGGTTAGAGTATTGCTTTGTTGCATATAAAGTGTGGAGCTATAATAGATTGAATAAGCAGAGATGGTTCGCTCGATCAGGTTTAGTGATCGAGTGCCGGTCTCGGCTTGTTTAGAAAATGGGTCGTGACAATTCCAAGCCAAAAGAAGATGTTGGTCCATCGATTATGGAGCCTCCAAGCGGAAGAAGTGCAGTGGTACTTGAGGTTTAGGAGGTACTTGCAAGACTGGGAGGTAGAAGAATATCAAAATTTGCTTGGATTATTTCATAATCAAAAATATTCACAAGATAAATATGATGCATGGAGATAGGGTGTCGGGGATAATGGCGTTTTTTCCGTTAAGTCCTATTATGAGAAGCTCTTAATTGGGGAGGAGCTAGTCTTTCCACATTATTCAATATGGATCCCGAGGGTACAGAGAAAGGTGTGTTTCTTCACTTAGCTAGCTACAAGAGGTGTGATTTTGACGACGAAAAATTTGAGGAAGAGGAAGATTACTTGTGTAAGTTGGTGCTTTATGTCTAAAGACTCGGGAGAAGATATGAATCGCCTTCTTCTGCACTGAATAGCATCTTTTTGTGGTGGGAAATTTTGAGATGGTTTGAGATGGAGTGGGTAATGTCGGGCACCCTGAAAGACACAATGTTTAGTTGGGCTTTCGGGAGTCGGAATAGAAGACGCAGCTGCACAGAGCATGGGATGTTGCTCCTCTACACTTATGTGGACCATATGGAGAGAGAAAGAAATAGGAGAGCTTTTGATGGAGTCGAGAAAAATATTATTTATTTGGGGAATAGACCCTTTTCACTTATTGTTTTTTGGAGCACCCATGAGGTTCCCTTATGTATAGATGATTGGGTGGCATTCATAGAAAATATGTCTTTTTGTAAGGTTTCCTATTTTTTTGGTATACTTCTTTTGTACGGGCATCTTTTGTCCTTTGCTTTTAATGAAATTTATTACATTAATTACACTTACTTGTGAAGTCAAAGAAGAATTTGGGGCTTTTTAAAGTTTTTCGACATTTGACAACACTATTAGAGGGAGAGATATAATTGGGATTGATTACATGTTTTACGCAATAATGAAGCAAAACCCCAAAAATAATGTAATGAGTTGTCATGAGATCCTAAGATGTAATAAGATCATATGTCACCCTACTGTGACCTTACTATCTTTTTTTTTCTTTTTTGGATGACGAAGAAATTTGTCTGAGGCCGATCCTTGGGACCAACCACAACCTTCAAAACTCGAGGATAATGGGTATGTCCCTCTATCCTTCTCCGTTTAAATTCTACGCTTAATTTGCATGGCTTTGGGCTTGAACCTGTGACCTAAGTCACAAGTCTCAACCCTTGCCAATTGAACTAAGCCTGGGGACTTTTCCAATTGACTTTAGCATCTTGTCAATTCCATGAACTTGTCAGTTCTATCTAGGATCTGGATCAATTCCATGAACCTGAATAATCTAGATCATGATTTTAGTAACATGAAATACACTCATGCGAAAGAGCTTCTTTTAAACAGGTAAAGGTATTATAAAGAGAAAAGGGATGGAAAGACAACCTGCCGATGGGACCAAGCATGATAATTTTTTGCATCCTGAGAAAATATTTTCTTGGTGAATTCTAGCTCATTTGTCACAGCATCAGTTCGCAGCTTCTCAGCAAGCCATCGTCTATGATGCCTGTAAGTTTCTATTATGAAGAACTTCGACCATTGTGCACATATTTATAATTAGATAAAAATAAAGAATTCAACAGAACAAGAATAACTTGTGTGGAGGAACAAACTTCCCCACTTCCCTTTTCTGTGAAGGAAAACATGGAGTCAAGTATAATATGCAGATACATAGATACTGAAAAGGGTAAAAGACAATCATTCCCCCCTCACCAATGAATATTTATTATAAACACTATATATTCCAAGAACATAAATACAATACATTTTATAAAGTTCTGCAATTTCTTTGAAACATGCACATCTCATAGAAAAGCTGCATGTCTCACCTTATCTCTCAGCCCAATGAAGCCTGTTCATCCTTGTGCTAGAGTCATTACTTTTAATTTCTAATAGATTGGAATTCTATGGCACTAACTAACTAACTAAAAATGACCAATTCACCACTAATTCATGATTTCCCTCCTTCTACCACACGATGGGCATTCAGAACTCAATAATCGAGTGTCTCTACTTATCGTTTTTTCGTCTTATATGTTATAATGGAGTATCTGGTAGTTGAAAGCTCGTGTACTGTCTAATCCCATCAACTTGAAGCAGTTTCATCACGTTATCTCTGTTAACCTTGATTCATGATATAAATCACTTGTCAACAAAGTATTCACTTTCCATCACCTTTACTTTAGAAGGGACCTGTGTGGAGTTTTCAACTTACCATATTTGATAATTTTTTGTGTTCTCCCCAGCAATGCGATCAACAAACTTCAATTCTTCATGTAAATCAACACCCAGTGCCTCCAGCACAACTCGCCTGAATTGCCATACCTAAACATGAAATTACCCATTAATTAACAACCCTACAACTTTGTGCCCACAATATTCAAAAGTCTTTTTACATTCTTAAACTTTGTAGACAGTCAAATTAAGGCACACAAAATGAAACAGAGGGACTATACAAACTCCGACGCAATTATCTCACAAAACTCCATTAACATTTAAGTTCAGATTCCAATTCTACGCCAAAGATGCAACTTTACCTTTTTTATACACGAAAAATTCCAATTAATACAAAAATAATCCCACTTAAATTCACAAAATACTGCATTATAAAAACCAAAAGGAAAGAACTGAAAGAGAAATTGCAGTTAGAGACTCACAGTGTAATTTCCAGGGTTTAACGGAATAGCTTCAGCAGTAAGCTGAAGGGCGCGTGGAGACCGCTCGTCGTCTAAGTAGATTGCCCGGAAATAATCCATGGTTTCCGAGAAGTCTTCGGTGTAGGCTATTGGAACCACCGGGCAGGGCCCGTCGTCTTGCGGAACGGGCTTCACATCGGCCCATTCAGGCCTTTCCTTGAACGGGATTCGCGTTCGCTTATCTTCGCCAGTATCCATTTTTCTACTCGGATCGATCTCCGGGATCTGATCGGACCTTTAATTAGTGATTCCCGGCGGTGTAGTTCAATGCGCCGGAGTTTCGCAGAAAGAAAAGAAAGGTTCAAATAGCCTGTTTGGCCAGGCCGGAGAAATAAGATTAGAAGTGCATTTGGCTAATCAGAAATAATTTATATTTGGCCAAGTTTTTTAGAAAGGGCTTTTAAGTGTTAAATTATGAATAAAGACATGAATAAATTTACTTAATAATTAATATTATAAGTAAATAAATAATCTCAAAAAAATTTTATTACATGTAATAATTAAAATAAACATTTTATTTAAATAAAATTAAAAAAATACTTAATTCTTTTAATATAAGTTAAATATATTTAAAAAAAATCAACAAATATAAAAGCATTCATCCCTAAAGTCACTATATATTAGAAAGTTTTCTAAAAAATAAGAAGAAATATTTATAAATTAATTCTAAGTATTAGGTTCAAGGGTTATTTTGGTATATATTATATTTTGTTAAGGGTATTTTAGGTAATAAGAAAAGCCAAAATTACTTCTGCTTTTGCTTTTGGAAAGAAACTACTTTTTTCTGCTTCTCTAAAACTTTTTTCCCAAAAATATTTTTTTTTCCTAAATAAACTTGGCCAAACACCTCAAGTTAGGGAGGAAAAATGCTTTTGGAAAAAGAAAAAAAACACTTTTCGCCTCCCGAGAAGCTTGGCCAAATAGGCTATATAAGTCCAGTAGAAGCTGATTCGACAAACTTTTGTAAATGATGGGCAAAGGCGAGAAAATGACACAAATGGTTCCTTATCTTTGGAGTAGGTTTAAAGTAGTCCTTAAATATATCATTGATCCGTTTTGGTCCCTTAAGTGTAAGTTTCTGGAAAGTTAATATTTTTTCTCTCCATTAAAAAGTTAACAAACTCTAATTTGTTAATTTTAACGAGAACGGCAAGTATAGCCACTTCCAAGTTCCAAGTTGTCTCCCATTCTCTTTATTTCTCGAGTACCTCTATACTCTTACGTATTAGGTTTAGTTGACCTAATAATTTTGACATGGAGCATAAATTAAATCAAAGTTAAAATTTAAATTTAAATTTTTATGTTACATCATGTATTTTCATTTAATATATGTACGACTAAGTTGAGGTTGATGAATAACGTGAGAATTGAAATTTTGAGCAAATAAAAACGAGTTGCCCGCTTACCCAAACCAAGCTGCTTGCTTGCCCGTCCTACTTGCTTGAACTATTTATCACGTGTCGTGATCATTAAATGAGAACGAGACACGTAATTAAGTTAACTAGGGATAGCATGTGACACAAATTAAGTAAGTAAGTGTTCTACACTTCTAGCTTAAATGAAAGGACCAAATAAGTCCCTCAAAATGGGCTAATTGAGTCGGGCATAAAGACCCTTTTAAGGGATGATTTTATTCATTATTTCATTCATTTTTAGAGCATAAAATCATAAAATAAACCCCTACAAACTTCTCTAAAAAAAATTCACACAAATCCTAAGTGATTTCAAGGGATTCAAGGCGAATCTAGTGACGAAGAAACCCGAAGTACTTGCTAGTTTCTTTTCCTCTTCCTTGTGGTTGCATTGAAGGATTATTCGAGGTGGGATGAACCTAAGTTTCGGCTGATTCTAAGTGGTGTGAGGCGAGTTTATGCTTCTCCTTCCTTTATCTAAGATTTTATGAATTGTAGCTTGATTGTAAAGACTAGAATTTGTAAGTTCTGAAAGAGTTAGCATGTTGTTGTTGTGCCACTATTGGGCTATTGTAAGCTTATTTTTTTAAGTGAATTCATGGCTGGTTTAGACAAGAAGAAGCTTATTTATGTATTGTTGGTTGTGTTATGCGATTCGAAAGAAAAGAGAATTGTTGGAAATATGTTTTTAGTAATTTGAAAATTGTAGTTATGTTGTTGTCGATTGTTGAACTATTTGGGAGGCGTTATTGCAGCATTTTATGGCTGGAAAATTGATGGAATAACCTAAGTATGTTGTGTTATTATTATCAATATTTTCCTATTAAAAAAAGAAAGGAAAAAGGGTTTGACAATATAGTTTTATTAGACATTAACCAAGCTTGACGTTCAACGTACTATTGTGTTGGTTGTATTCCGTATATCTATTGATTGTTTGGATTGTTGCTGCAATATAGGGCATGAGAAATGTAACAAAAATAGGGGAGATGATACTCGTTTTAATATAAAATAGGCTTGTCGTTCGTTGTATGATAGTTGTATCTTTCGTAGCTTAACGATAGCATTATTATAGTTGTTGTAAATTAAGGTGCGACGAGACGAGCTCAATGTGGTTATTGGACAGATTGTGATAAAGTATGTAATGGCTATCCCTTTCCTTTCATTGGCATGAATCCGTAGTAAGTACGAGTTGGATGAATGTTATACGGAAAAACGAATATTATAGAGATCGTATCTCAATAGGTGTTACATCTTTCTGTATGCTTCCATCGTATCTTATTGAGAGGGATCCCCATCCGCTTTATGTTGTTCCATGATGTTGGACAAAGATAGAGAGTTACATACATACCTTCCTCCATTCTATTATATACATGATATATAGCAAAGTATATATATATATATTTTGTAGCCTGGCCACTTAGTCAATGAGATATTGCTATTGCCTATATGGTCGGTGAGAGATATTATTTCTTGGCCACTTGGTCAGTGAGAGATACTATTATCTGGCCTTATATCAGTGAGAGTTTATATTTGCATGGCCTTATGTTCACTGAGAGTTTATTGTTTCCTGGCTACTTGATTAGTAAGAGATACACGGAGCCTTATATGTGGCTGACTAACTATGATACTACTATATTGCATTGTGTCGAGTCAGGACAAGTGAGTATATCTCAGAGCATTCTTTGGCGTCTAGTTTACTATGCATTTTAGTTCAATTTCAGCTGTCAGTTATTCTATTGTCTTACATACTTGGTACATTATTTCGTACTGATGCTCCTCTTGTTGGAGGCACTGCATTTCATGTCTGTATGTTCAGATAGACAGACGGATAGACCTTCCCAGTAGATAGAGCGAGACATCAGCTTGATTGGTAAGCTTCACTCTCCCAGAGTTATTAGGTATAGACTTTGGAGTCCATTTTGTATATACAGACTTGATGAAAAGTTCGGGTCCCTGTTTCGACTATGATATAATTATGTATGTTTTGTATGTCAGTATTGTAACCTTGTCGGCCCTATGTACATGTTCAGTTTAGTATTGTTGGTTGTAGACATTCATGGTGACCTTGTCGGTCTACATAGTTATGTATATATGTTTGGATGTGTTTACTCTTCAGGTGAGTTAGATATTATCTTCAGATGATTTCAGTGTACGACTTTGTCACCCTTGGTTGGTATTGTCTGCTTGCAAGTAGGCCTTATCGGACTAAGTTGAGGGTTATCTCTCCATGATTCATAGTTATAGGGTGGTATGTTCGGGCCAAGTATGGCACCAAGTGCCGACCACGCCTCCCTAGGTTTAGGGCGTGACATTTCAAAAGTAAAACAAATGTAATTGTATAAACTTAAACGTCAAAAGGAAACTTAAATATTTATAGAGATAAATTTGCTCGTTGTTCCAAAAAGAAATTAAAAAATTCTCAAGGTCAAAGAATATGATTTTCGCTTTAATTTAGCCATCAAATATTTAATTATAGTGAAATTATGCATCTAAAAACTACATAAGAGTAGTTATTATATATTAACAGTGTCAGATTTTTGTTACACTACCAAGTTACTTAAAAGCACATAAAAAAGAAGTTATATTGGAAGACCTACAATATTTAAGGATCATTGTAGACTTAGTTAAAGATATGGTGCAATAAAAAATAAAATCAATGTCGTAATAACTAATAGTTCGGAATAGGTTTAATCGGAATAGGTTTAACTTGTTCGTACATGGAATTTAAACCTATTACTTTTTAATAAATATTTTTATTTTATCAAAAGTTTATATGCCAGCAAAAATATACAGAACTGTTAATTTTAATTATTATTAATATTACTATTACATTATATCCCAGTAAATTTCTTTTTTACTTTTATTTTTATTTTAAATAATAAACATATTAGTTGAGCTTAAATAGTGAAATATGATTTGTGAGGATTGGTACAAAATTGCCCATCTTCCACCAATTGAGCCAAACTGGCACCTAATATTAGTTTTTTGGTTCATTCCTACCTTTAAAACTAACAATCCAAAATAAATTAAAAAATATTGTAAATATCTATTACGTATCACTTTTCTATTGGTTTAACTTAACCCCACCCATTTAAACTCACTCGTATAACCTGTTATTTGCACCAACCTGACCCAATTCGAAAACTAGAGCTTGTAGGTACCTTCACTTTGAGAACAAAAGCAATTGACCTTTTACAGTCCACTTTTTTAAATAAAATAGGTTGTTATAAGAGCGTAGGATGACTGAAGCATTACATTTCTAATACATATAGGAACTCCGGCGAACACTCACAACGAACCACATTGAGATTTGAGAATATTGCATAAATGAAAAGTAATGTTCCACACTGTCATTTAATCTCTTTATTAGGTCTTATACACATGATACAATATGTTAAATTTAAGATTATTATGCATCCAGATACTATGCCAAAAGATGGAGTGATTCTTGATGAGCCTATTCCAAGAAATTATGACAGCGCAACCTGAAATACAAACAATATTATCCATTTCAACACAAAGAGCTAGGCCTAACATAATATTAACAGAAAGCAAAGCTCAATATTGACACACCACTCAGATATCTATTATTAACCTTATTTTCATACGGAAGGAATAAACGGAAATCACATTAGAACTTCCAAATAAATCGCACGGAATTTGAATTTGCAAATTGCAATTGCAGTGAAGCAAGTTATGTTCAAAAGTCTCTGCCGAAGTAGCACCTTGCTTAGTTGAATTTGCACCAACCCGAACCAATTGCAAAATTACAGGTTATACGGGTAGGCACACATATTTTGTGATATTCCCCCATTTTAATTTATCTGAATCTATTTGACTAGACACAATTTTTTTTTTAAAAAAAGAAGATTTTTGAACTTGTAGTGTAAAATGAGGCACACATATTTTTGTGTGACTATAAATCATTGCATAAATGTAAATTGTTTTCAAATATGAAAATGATTCATTCTTTTTGGCACGAACTAAAAAGAAAATAAGTTCACATAAATTAAAACGGAGGGAGTATATAATAAATATTTACAATATTAAATTTATATTGGGTTGTTAGTTTTAAGAGTAGGAATGAGCCAAAATATTAGCGGCAGATAATATAGTTACTACGTAATAGGGTGACACTGAAAGTACGAACATAACTTTTATAAATTTTGCTCAATAAGTGGACGAAAAATAATTTTGTACTAATTTTGATAGTTCATTTAGCCATTTTACATAAATTCAATTACAAGTAGCTTTTTGTAGGAACCCTCCAAAAGATGACAAGTGACTGTTATAATTGGTAAGAGTTTACTTAGTGATAAAATAGGGGGAAAAAAAAATATAAAAAAAATGAGTGGGCAGCGTGCCATCCACGTGATCAAATGGATGCCTTGTTGTAGACGGACAGTCGCGGTCGTCGGCTACTTTCTCACGGGTAGCGAGAAATTCAAACCTTTTGTTTTTTTCTCGTCGAGAAATTAAAACTCTTTTTCCCCTTTTCCCACGTATCTACTAGGGTTGTTCACGGTTTGACAGAAAATCGATTCAAATCGAAAATCGAATCAAATCGATTAAGTGAACCGATATTTTTCTTGATTTGGATTGGTTTTAGTTTTAAATTTTAAAAACCGATAATATTTGATTTGATTTTGGTTCTATTATAAAAAAATCGAAATAACCGAACCGAACCGATTAGTTATATAAAAATATGAATAATTATTGATATATGATATAATATCTTTTCGTAAATAATTTTAAATACTTTATGCATTTTAATTATTATTTTGAATTTTGATTTATCCTACTTATATCTTAAAAGATTGCCTAGGCCCAAAAGAATAGGAATCGACCAAATTTCTTTTCCTTAAGAGAATCTAATTCTCTAACCTACACACATACTTTTCCTAATAAAAGAGTTAGAAAAAAAAATCTACGACAAGAGTAAAGAAAGCAAACTCAAATTGTAAAACTATAGTAGCTAAAGCTTGAGAAAGTAAACTTTTAGTTTGGTTTTTGTTCATTTTTCGCATAATCAGGCAAATAAACTTTCGGTTCCGAAATAAATATATAAAAAATATATTATTTTCAGATTGTCGTGTAGTGTTGTTTTACTATTATCGACTTATCATTAGCTTACTAAGAACCGAAAAATCGAACCAAACCAACAACAACCAAATCGATGGTTTGTATGTAATTTGGTTTGGTTTTGGTTTTAAAATTTTAAAAATGGATTAAATTGGTTTGGTTTTGGTTTTAATCAAACACCAACCAAACCGAACCCCTAATATCTACCAAAACGCCATTCTAACAAACTGGAACCAATCAGGTCACATCCGTAATAGTGATATGAAGAAGGGTCAAATTAGTATATTCTACTTTCACTGACCCTTCAGTCTGAAAATCGAAGCTTCTTTTCTTTCAGTATTTTTCTCCTATTTTGACTTGGAAAATTGTTTATGCCTTTATGGTATATTTCCTGAAATTGCCGTATTTTTTCTTTATTTGATAATATTTTAACAGTGTTGTGATCTTTGATTTCACCGTAAAGGAAGGGTCTTTGCCTAAGCAGTCAAATTCAGATTTTTCGTTCAGATCATTCTTGAATTGGCCTTTTCTTCACTGTGGTATGTTCAATTTGTCTCAATTCTTGCTCTTATTGCCATTTACCTTTTTGTATTTTGATTTAGTATTGAATTCTGGGTCTTGTGTTTCTTGCTTTTATTTGTTTTCTATTACTGTAATTTGCTGGAACTAATATCTAAGAACTTTACTTGATGATAATAATAGTAATAGTTTCACCTAAATTGGCTTTAAACAATAATAATAATAATAATTAATAGGAGTAGTATTGGAATTAGAAAGTGAAAAAAAATGGACTCACACTTTATTTTGGTTTTGAACTTTGAACTTGTTGTTATGTTCTTCCAGTAGTTGCTTGTTTTTACAGCTTAGTGTTGGATAACTAAGGATTTGTATGTTGGAAAATTTTGTCTTATTTGCCCTGTTAATCAACTTTACCTCTGGATCTTTGGAATCCAAGAGAACGGCTGAATTTAATTTGTTTATCAGGTTTCCTTAAATATCTGCTTATGTACAATTATTGCGGAAGCGTCCTCATTCCCAACCCTTTCTCCTATTACATCTACGTCTTTGTTTCTCTCTTATTGTTATGATGAGTTTGGAACGGGTATTTTTCTGATTGAATACAGTATGGCTCATCCGGATACAAGTAATTTGCACATAAGTACACACAAATTGCAACTATCATTGTTAGTCTCTGAGCATTTCCTCGATAAGTTTAAACTAATTTTTGATAATTTTATTGGTGATCCTTCAATTTGAGTGCCATTTGAAATTCATACTATTGAAGTCATACGAAACCATACGTGGATCTCAATTCCTAATGGTCAAGTTTATAAACAAGAACAACATAGTTTCCAGTTAAAAATTTTTAATCATCAACAGATCAAAGTTTTTTTTAACCTTGACTTTATAACATTGTATCCTCAGCAGAATCAAAAACTTATTTCATCTTTCACATTAAGATAGTGTTATTTCTTTTTTAAGGTAGGTATTATTGGCTAAGAAATTCCCTAGGAAAGTACAAACGTTCTGATACTTGTACAAAGTCCTATAGAAGTTTTATGATACAATGTACTAGTTTCACTCCGCACTTTGTCATCCATGCATGGATTCAAGAAGAATTCTACCACAGGCTAGCAAATCCAAATTGAATGCTCTTCAGTTGGAAAAGAAAAAAGAATCTATGTTTGGAACTGTTCTTTATTATTTCTGATGGTGCCATTTACAGGTTCTTTCTTCAGTGAGCTTGATATACCTTGAGTATAGGATATAATGCGTACAAAAGCACTTCTTGCTCAATGCTTGCCTGGTTTCATATCTCAAGACCGAGGGTGTCACATGTCAGTGATATCCGACAGAGATGTCCATCTTCCCTCACCAGCTGTAGAAATAGTTCCATCAAAGGTATGCCTTCTTTAGCTGTTTTAAAAAAATTTCCTTTGTTTTTCAGTTTTCTTGTTCCCAAATGTGCATTAAATTGTGCAGGCTGCTCATCCCTACAAATATGCTGGTGAGGCTGTAGATTTACAAGGAATCAATTTCTTCAAGGTACAAATAATTCACTTACTATGTTATTGGTATGAATTGTTTTGAGTGAAGTTGCTATATTAATGTCTTGAGGATGGGTGGCTACTCATAACTCATTCCATTTTTGAATTCGGGGAGCTGTACTTGGTCTCTGAGGAGGTGGCTGACATAGCTGGAAGTCACCTAGAACCGAGATTTCTGGCTCTAAAGATTGTTATCTTCTTTTGGGAAGTCATTGTATACCTGTACGTGTCCTAAATATATAAAATCTTGTTATAAAGAATTAACAATGTCCAAGAATCCTAAAAGTAGTCAATTTGACCCTAATAAGAGAACATGGCCATCTTTTTTCAAATTGAGAGAGTATGTTTTTTAGTCAGATCTGTGTTTTTCACTATGCTCTACTGCAGTATCCTGAGCTTGAATAGATATGCATAAAATCTTCTCCTTTTTTTTTCCTTTCTTCTTTTTTCTTTCTTTCTGAGTGTTTAGCTGCTTGATGATTTTAATATTAAACTTGAATTGCACTTGTTTCTATATAATGCAGGGTAGAGTCAGTGTCGCTGATATAATTGGGTTCACTGGTTCAGAAGCAATATCCTCAAAGTCAGATGGTAGGTACACTTGCTGGTTTCTGCATAGGCCAAATGTAATAACTAATAAATAATTCCTAAGAGGTCTTGGTGTGAGAAATTGTAAAAGGGCGTTCAATAATGAATTTTAACTTCGAAAGTTGATCTGTTGCACTACAGGACATCTTAAATCTTGGGACAGCTCAATTGATCTTGTTAATGTTCTCAAGCATGAGATTCGGGATGGACAACTGAGCTTAAGAGGCAAAAGGGTACTTGAGGTACTTCATTTCAAACTGTTCGTTTGATTTACATGCATTTACCTATTTATTACCTCATCTTCACTATTGTTGGATTAACGTGGCATCTTTAGAAGAATCTACATCAATCTACGTACAAAATTTCTACAATGATCTGCTCAAATGCCATGTAGCTTTTTTGCTAAGTAGAGAGTATGTGATAAATGTATTACCTGTTTAGTAGCACATTTTTGGACTTGGTATCAACAGATTCTAAGAAGCATGTGTTAGAGGGTAGAAGCGGATTATCTTTATGGTTCCTTTTGGACACTACCAACTTGACTGTAGCACCAAAATTCCATCAAAATGGACCACTAATGGACCTTTTGGGACGTGGTATAAACGTTTTAAATTACCTTAGAAGACCTTGATGATGGGCTGGCCTGAGAGTAAGTAGAAGTTCATACAGAAATCACAAACCTTGGTTCAAGAGTAACCTTTTTGTGCCAATGGACCTCAGCATAGTCTTTTTTGAAAGTTAACTATTTGCCTCCAAGATAATAGGGCCCCTGAGATGCATCATTAGTTGGCGCCTTTTGAATTGTAGCTTATTTGATCAAAAGATTTATGCACATGATATACTGCATATACTCACAATGTGACTTGCCAGTGCATAAGATTTTTTTGTGAAATCTTTCCATAAAGCCATAAAGCATGTTGAAATAACTTGTGATTATTGTTGGTTAGTACGGATAATGCTAGCATTGAATAGGGTCTTAGTCCATCGTATATTTTGCTACTGTTATTGATGTTGCTTGAAAGCTTTATCTTTGACCTTTTAATACATTTCTTGGTGATTTGATGCTTAAATGACATGTTTGTGCTTATAGCTCATGCTTAGATTGCAGCTTTGCTTGTCATTTAGTCTATCATCTCTCTCATAGCTGTTGGAGTTGAAGTAACCATACCAAATTGTATTCCCATGTACCTCTCTTTCAACTCTGGAAGTTAATTCTGTTTTCTTTTTTTACTTTTTGCTTTCAGCTTGGTTGCAGTCATGGGCTTCCTGGAATTTTCGCTTTTTTGAAGGTAACGGCTTTAATGTAGTTTTTGTGCAGAAATCTAGGACAAATATAATTTTGAAATTTGCAATTTCATTGGTGTGAAATGTTTAGGAAGTATTTCTAAAACTCAATCTGGGCACACAAAGGGTATCAACCGCAGAAAGTAAATCAGTTGATTTCTGAGAAGTCGTGTCATGATTATCGTATTTGTTACTAATCATCACCGAGCTATGTGCATTGTTTCGAACCAGGACTTTCAGAAAGAATTCCTTTAATCCCAAAATTGTCAGTATCCCGGGACTCTGTCTTAACATTCCTTTTCTGTTCCTTTATAAACCCCTCTCTTCTTGCCGAAATTTGGCTATACATTTAAAACTAGCATATCGTACGTCTCAATCTCAAGCTTGTTGAAGTCGTCTATATGAATCTTCACTATCCATCATACTTCATTTGTGCCCTCGTTTCATTCTAATATTCAATATTTTAGGCTCTCTTGACACTACAATGTTTTTGATATTTTCTACAGAGATACAAATCTCTAACAAGATTAAAAGACTCATAACAACTAATGGACCTAATTTAGGCAAACCAAATGGCTAACTCTCAAGTCGGTATGGATTCTAAGAGATGGTAGGTCGTTTGAGACAATTTCCTTGCATCTGATTTTAGGTCTATCTCGTTCGCATCATCATCGTTACGCTTAACACCTGTAGACCGGTGCATTTGGAGGTTGACTTGACCAAACCATTTCAGCGATGTTCTCACGTATTATCCTCTACTACTTGCACCTCTGCAGAATGTGTTTATTTCTGATCTTGAATAATTCAGTATGAACACACATTCATCTTAACATTCGCATTTCTGAAACACCCATCTCGTGGATATGGTGGACCTTAGAGGATATTTACCCCATATAACATTATTGGCCTAACAACCATTTTATAGAACTTACCTTTCACTTTGGTAGATATCCTTCTACGACGTAACACCCGATAGCATTTTTCTATTTCAACCTTCCTATTTTATGGGCCTAACAACCATTTTATAAAACTTACTTTTCACTTTGGCAGGTATTCTTTTACAGCGTGACACCCGATAACATTTTTCTATTTCAACCATCCTATTTTAACTCTATGTGTCACATTTTTATCTGTCGTATCATTCCTGGAGCATCGAGTTAGGTAATCTGAACTTTATGCTTTTTTAACTTTTAAGTTGTAACGGCACAAATTTACAAATCCAACTTGTAGATAACGAACGCTGTATTTGGGAATCCTATGATTTTCAAGAGATTTGCAAAGTTCAAAATTTGTGTGACAAGAAAGTGCCACCCNNGTAGAGGGAGACCTAAGAAGTATTGGGGAGAGGTGATCAGACATGACATGGCACGACTTAGGATTACTGAGGACATGGCCCTTGATAGGGATTTATGGAGGTCGAGCATTAGGGTTGTAGGTTAGGGGAGAGTGTGAATATTTCTACAGCACAATAGAGGGAGACTATCCAGTTAGGAGTTAGACTAGGAATGTCATTAGGCGTCTATTGATGCAGGGCTTTACCTTCTAGTTGTACTATACCAGCCATCTATTTCGTATTTTCGTTGTCGTATCCTGTATTTCATATTTCATATCTCTTATATATTGTTGCTGTTTTATTACGCATTTTTACATAACTAATGTATCATCTCCTATTGCTTCTTTTGAGCCGAGGGTCTCTTGGAAACAGCCTCTCTACCCTTCGGAGTAGGGGTAAGGTCTGCGTACATACTACCCTCCCCAGACCCCACTTGTGGGATTATACTGGGTCGTTGTTGTTGTTGTTGCGCAGAAGTATATCCTGGTCCAAATAGATATAACCCTGTTAATGGAGCACCTTTTGGATCTTGCCAGACTCTATATTTAGTGACAAGTTCTCCCTAAGCAATGATCACTAACGAGCAGTTTGAAAGGGTTCCTCGTGATTAGGCTGTGAACATGAAGACCTACTTGACCTGCAATGGAAACAACGGTTTTTGTGTAAGGTCCCAAAGCATAGAATCTTTTAAAACCTCATCGGGTCCTGTTTTGATCATTAAATTAGTTTTAAGAGCCTAAATGGTTCAGCTCCACAATTTGCATTCTTTGAGGATCTCACTGTAATTATCTTATTATCATCACTAGGGGGACTCGAATGATGCAGGAGGTGGATGTTAAGTTGAAATTTCAACTCATGTCACAACTCACAAGTGTGTGAATTCAAATGCCGGAATTACAAATTTATAGGAGTAGGACATGGTAGCTGAAGTCCAACTTGTAGTGAACTTAATGGGTATAGTTGCACGGGGCTCTTGGATTCAAGTTACTCAAATAAACTGATTTAAAATAACTTCTTTGCAGGGAGCTTCGACAGTACATTTTCAAGACCTCAGTGCAGAAACTATAAGATGCACCACCATCCCTAATGTTTTAGCAAACCTTGAGCAGGCCCGTGATAGACAGAGCCGCCAACCTGAGAGCCCTTTGACTCCTTCAAGACAGATTCTTGCTCCGGTGGTCCACTTTTATGCTGGAGAGTGGGAGGAACTCCCTACAGTCTTATCTGTGGTGAGGAATGATATATCCGAGGTACCAACAGGGATGAGCCTTAGCTTGTCAGAGGAGGATTTCATGGATGGCTGTAGTAGCCAAGAAGGTAGCATATTGGCGCAGGAGTCTTCCTTGAGGAGATCTAGGAAGCTCTCTGGAAGCAGAGCATGGGAGAGGGCTAATGATGCAGACAATGGCGAAGGTGGATATGATGTAATTTTAATGACTGAACTTCCCTACTCAGTGCCCTCCCTCAAGAAGCTACATGGGCTGATAAAGAAGGTAATACGTTACTATTTAACCATGCTGATGAGTTTCCCTTTTTAGCTCTTTAACTGATTTTATGCAACATCTATCTTTTTCTAATCTATATTGGAGTATCTGACTATATGTTACTGCAATTTTCTATTTGCAAGTGCTTCTTTCTGTATGTTGCTGATTTAATTTGAATAGTGCTGTAACAATTTTTCACCTTCTTAAACCACCAGTGTCTGAGGCCTCCCTATGGAGTAATATACCTGGCTGCTAAAAGGAATTACGTGAGCTTTAACAGTGCAGCACGGCATCTGAGAAGCGTGGTAGACGAGGAAGGTGTTTTTGGCGCCCATTTAGTGAAAGAGCTAACAGACAGAGAGATCTGGAAATTCTTTTTCAAATAAAAGGCATTTCTTCAACAGCCGAAATTTTATTCATCTAACATTGTTCTTACTTTTATGCTTCTATATTTATTTATCTTACATGCGTTATGTGATGATAGATTGACATTATACGTGGCTTTGAGTCCTGTTAGTCTACTTATGTAGTTATTTTTGCTTGTGGACCTTTTCTTCCTTATCTTGAAGGTGTAAATTAAATGTATATTTTCTTGATTTATACATGATGTAATGATTCTCCACTTGGGCTAGATTGAAATGTCACATTAATCATAATTCCTTTGATTGGTTTGAAAGAACTCTTGCAATTTTTGTTGTTTCATGGTCAAATATGCATGTCTAGTTTCCCATGAGTTTTCTTGCTGTTGAGATAAATGAGTCGATGTCTAGCTCCTACTATGTGACAATAGTGTGTACAAGACCTGGAGCGTGAGAGGGATTCGATTATTACCAAAATGAAAAAATTGCATTATTGTGGGCTTCTTCTTCTATCCAGTAAAGCCTCTACCGACCCTTTTACTTTTACTTTTGGGCATAATGTCTTGATTACTTAACTCAGAAGCATAAAGATAAAAATTATGTTGTGATAATAAATTAAAGGGATCCCTAACTAAATAAACTACCTTGATAAGAAATCTAATTTGGTTGCGTTGCTTAAAAATCAAGATCGGAATCCTTTTTTTTATAGATAATCAGTCATCTCATCAAAAGACATTTCACCATTCCAGGACGTTAGAAGTTAAAACCAACGGAGAATAGCTTTTAGGTTTACCTTGCTGATGCTATTTCCATTGTCCACTCTTTTTAACCTCTTTTTGAAGCAACATTGTACACCTTTTGTTCATATTTTGTTAGCTGGTAATGGTTCGTGAATGACACACTAGCCAGCAAAACAAAATCACACATACTTGTGACTTGGTTTTTGATTGAGGGCAATTGAAAAACTTTCTAATATCCTATAGTAGGACCTCCCTCTGCAACCTGTTGACTGAAAGTACAAAAGATATTGAAAATTCCCCCTTGGTATTCTTTCATGTAAGACACCATGTCATGCAGATTAAAGTACTAAAAACATTGAAAATTTTCCATGAGACAACGAACACAAAATGCATATCAAACAAAAACCATCAACGGCATCAAAAATTGAACTTCATCACAAACGAGGACAAGTAGATAACACATCCTTCAAAAGCAATGCTGCTCTATAGAACTCAACCCGATACATTCAACAAAATCATAAACCTAAGTTCATTCAAACCCTCTTGTTGCATATGAAAATGATATAGCATAAAACATGCAAAATTGGCTCCGGAGAAGGTGACTATCGTTTCTTGGAGACACCAACAGTCTTCCCCCGGCGACCAGTGGTCTTTGTGTGCTGACCACGCACTCGAAGACCCCAGTAGTGACGCAAACCGCGATGATTCCTGCCACCATCAGATATTTAGATAAAGGATAAGCACAGACAAGAAAGGTTTTCCTACAACTTGTACCAATAGTAGTTGGTTGAGAATTTCCAATAAAACATGACATGTTAACAACAAAGTAGAGAAGTAAAAGACCAACCTGATCTTCTTCAGTCGTTCCAGATCATCCCTAAGCTTCATGTCCAGAGCATTAGATGTAACTTGTGAAAACTTACCATCCTTGTAATCCTTTTGCCTATTCAAAAACCAGTCAGGGATTTTGAATTGACGAGGATTTGCCACAACAACCATCAAGCTATCGAGTTCAGCAGCAGAAAGCTCACCCGCCCTATAGAAAAGAGTAGCAGAAATTTAGATAAATTTGCAAGAACTAAAATACCAAAGCAGGAAAACTTAGCGCAGCACAAAAGTTTAGAACAGTCGGCACGGAAATGTTGCGTGGTAAAAAGGCCCCTTTGACAACTACTAATTAAACATATTGGTAAAAGATATCGGTTCGGGCTCGGTTTGGCAATTCTGTTATTGGGTAAAACCGATAAGCCAACAAGGGTTAACTAATTTACTAGTTTATCCTTAAGTATATACATACTAGGGTTTCATATACATAGTTCTCACTTCTCAGTTTCTCCGCCTCACACCCTGTCACCCTCGTCACCCTCACCAGTTCTCCACCAGATGGATTGCCTTTGCTTGCAAATTCAACCACTGATTTTTAAATCAAAGTTTTTCTTGGAAGACTCAAGTCAAGTTTCACTAAGATGGAACTTTAACTAGTCGTCCTGTTACTCAATCAGATGATGTGGGTACTTTTGGCAGCAAGAAAATCTTACAATTAGAAGAAACATTTTCTATCAAAAGAATATTGATCAATTGAAAAGGAGAACGAATGCCAATATATCTAAGCAACATTAAACAGAATTGTTCTCATTTGCAGAATCTGTTTTAGTTTTATCTTATCGGGTAAACCGATAACCGAACCGATAATGATCAATAACCAATTAACTGATAACCGATAATCAATATCTTATCGGTTTGGTTATCAGTTTATCATATTTATAAACTGATAACCGATAGGCAAAACCAATAATATTCAAAACCGAACCGACCGATGCCCACCCCTAGCTCACCTCGACTAAAGATAGCAGGTACCTTTTTGATGAAGAAACGAAAAGTCACGTACCTAAAGATAGCAGGTACCTTTGCAAATCATATGCTAACTTCCTCACCCAACTATTAGTTATTTCTCAGAAAAATAACAGCAAGGCGTAGAATACAAACCAAATATAGTTGCGGAACGAATCATTAGGTATCCATTTCAATTTTATTTTCGCGATGGAGCATTCTCTATAATGAAAATATAAATCCAAAACTCGAGGTAAAATGGGGGATCTAAATCCAAAATTGGAGACAAAAATAACAGTACATAATACTCCAATAACACATAAGCATACCGAAAAGGTTTAACAGGCTTAGTTGCAACAAAAACAATGATGAAATCAAAATTAGAGCTTCATTACGTATTAGTAGGAAGAGAAAAAGAAAAGGGAGTACCTCTTGCTCATATCGATATCGGCTTTCTTACAGGCAATATTAGCGAAACGACGGCCGATACCTTTGATAGATGTCATTGCGAACATTATCTTCTGTTTCCCATCAACGTTCGTGTTTTGCACACGAAGTATGTGCTGAAATTCTTCATTTGCAACCAGCGACTGCACCCCAAAACCAAAATCACTAACAATTCTAAAGACCAAACACATACATACATATGCATATATATATCTTACCATGGCTACGGTTTCGAATCCGACTCTGCGGTGCGGCTGCTTCGTTTACTCCTGAAGAGATACAGAACTACCAAAACCCTAACGCTGGTCGAATAGTATCAGCTTATGTATATATGCGAAAAGGACAATATAGTAATTGACCATCTAGTGAAGCTATTTTGTAATTTGCACTTGTAGTGCAGAGGGTTTGGTATAGTGACAGTTGACTCTCTTAAGTTTTACAGGATTTTAAGAAAATATTGTTTGCTTAAGAAAAAGTTTAAGTTACATCCTAAAGATCTCAATAAGTAAAGATTAGTTTTGCAACGATAATAGTCAACAACAACAATATACCTAGTGTAGTCTTACGAGTGGGTCTGGGAGGATAGAGTATACGTAGACCATACCCCTGCCTTTAAAAAGGCAAAGAAGTTGTTTCCGGAAGACTCTAGACTTAGGATGAGAAAATGTTAAACCATTAAAAACTCAAAATCAGAATAATAATAATGATAATTAATGAACAAATACATCAAAAAGTAATTGCATAGCACATTGAATAATTTTTGCTTCACCTTCAAATTTTAGAAAAGACAATTGTGCAAAATAAAATACCCTAGTAATCTTTAACACTGTTAATTGACTTTTATTACCCATCTTTCTCTAAGATGTTTACTCTATCATGTCATTTAAATTGAGCTCAAAAATGTATATTTTTATAAATTCTTTCTTGGAAGACGTATGATTTTTAAGAGTTAAGTATGTTTCCATCCTTCTCTCCCTAAAGCCTATTGTTTCACGTTCAGTATTTCTTCTCATGTGATACGTATACATTTATGGTGTTTTTCAAATTTACATTGCTTCTCGACGTATAATCAATTCTCTTCACTTTTTTTTTTTTTTTTTTTTTTTTTTTTTTTTTTTTTTTTCATATTGAATATCCCACAAGAGACTTCTTAACATATGTTCATCGAAAAATATCTACATTTCATTCCGTTATTTTTCTCATTTTCTGACTCATTCTAGTTTCCTTACAGGAAATAACCCCATTGTAGATAAGATTAAAAAAGAAAGAGGTTGTATTTTACTTGATTGGGGACCAATCTCATTTAACAATCAGATAATCTCTCCCCAAAGAACTATAGAGCATGGATGATCACTAGCAAAGATGTGATTGACAATACAAATAGCAGAATAGACTAGTCTCTTGCAAGAGAAATAAATTATGTAGATAAACAAATGCAAGTCCTTCACCCTACATTATTTTCCATCCCCTTATACATGAGGCAGTTTGCCTTGGTGCACACAAAAACCAAAATTACTTCCAAGATCTGAAGATCCATCTTGTGTTAGTCACAGTAGAAGTGAAAGCACCATATAATTGAAGGTGAGAAAATCTCACCAGGCATCACGTGCATTTTAGAGCATTCAAACATAAAGTTAAAAAAAAAACCAAAATTTGCATGCAAAGTTCTAGGCGTTGGGATGCAACCTCAACTGTTTGAAACCACTTTATTTTCATACCACCAACCCAAACAAAAGTTAAAACACGAGTTTCATGTACTTAGATATACCCATCCTTCATTATCCCATTTTCCCCATGTTTCGAAGAACAAAGGCAGTGAAAATATGCAAAAACAGAATGATCTGCCATTATGCGCTTCCTTCTGTGTTCTTCCTTGCTTCTTCCCGCATAACAGCTCTCACATATATCTCATAACAACATCCTGTAAATATAAGTTAGATAGATCAGAAGACGGCTTCAGAAGTATTAGACAATCGGACGAAAATACTGAAATTTTACAAAAAGATTAATATCAATTGTAAATTGCACGCAAAATATCCAGCACGGTATAAGGATCAGAAGGCCTCCCCTCAGATCCGGGAGTTACCTAGCTCCAAAGATGCTATTCAGTAGAAAAGCAAGTAGAACTGCTTTTGCAGGATTTCAGAGTTAGTGCAAAAACAGCAGCACAATAAGCAGTAAAAAGATGCTGTAAGGAACGTAACTGATGGTATCTGAATAACAGCAGCTGGACATAAATAAACAGAGCAGAAGCTTCTTAAACTCTTTAAACAGCTTCGGATATGAATGAGAAGCCAATGCTTATGAAGGCTGGAAATTGATTGTTGCAAATTATATTAAGAGCAACATAGAGATCATGTAGCCATAGAGATCATGTAGCCATAGAGATCATGTAGCCTAACAGCAGCAAAAGGCGGCTGATAGCATATATTGCACCGACTATACAGAGCCTCTGAACAAGATCTGGATACAACTCAACATAACAGAAGGCTTTAAATTTTTTTCTTTTCTTTTTTGGGGGTAAATAGATAATAAAAGAAGGTTTTAAAATATTTTCCTTGGCTTTGAAGAAAATGAATGAGAAACCAATGAAATTAAAATTGGAATCTAATTATCGTTGCAAACTAAAACTAAATACGAATGCAGAGTCTTAACACCAGTAGTAACAGGCTGTTGCTACACTCTGATCAAAATTGTTTGGAGACTCTGATACCTATTAAAAGCCACGAATCAATAATAAGCAAGAACCACAGTGTTTGCCCAATGAGTCTTAAGATTATTTTTTATAAGGTAAGATTTTTATTGATAAGCAAGAAGCACTAAAAAGGTACTGTGGGGACTCTTCTGATTGTTCTTATTTCAATATCTATAAGTTGGAGAAAAAGAGGGGCATAAAGAAACCTTATTTCATTAGAAATGTAGAGGGAGATTCACAATCTTATTGAAAAGAAACATAGTCAGCTGACTTGATAAAGTAATTACTTCGCAATTCCAGATTGCATATCCTCACTCCCTTAGGATAGTTATATCTACATTCAACAAAAAAATAAATAAAGCAAATCCAGTATATGGTGAAGAGATTAGCAAACCTGCTACAACAACAATAGTTAGAACATCTCCCACCCTTTTAAGGTTCCGCACACTCTGTTTATGCGACTTAAAGCGTTTCAAGGAGGGATCCGCTGCCAAGAGCTGCCAATAACATAAAAATTTGACAAGGATAAAGCAGATGAAAAAAAATACTAGAATAAGTTATGGAAACAACTGAGTAAGTACAGAAGGGAATCCAATTTATGGAATTAATAGCTGACAAACATTTTGCCAAGGGAAATGTAATAATTTAACAATTAAGAAGCATGCACAAAGAAACATCAAAACTCATGCTCATTCAGGCACACATATAATCATATATGTTGGGAACAAAATCGGATTGACAAATAAACCCATCCCAAGCAACACATACTCGAGTTAGATAAAATATAGATATCCCAAGAAGAGTTTATTTATCAAAAAAGCCCAAGCAATAGGAAATACCTTTGGTACTTCTTGAACATCCTGTAACATGGAAGACACTCTGTGTAAAGTCATTTTGCACAAATTTTGTCATTGTTTAGCTTACTATTACACAGAGAAAGAATGTAACAGTATTTTTCTCATTGCTACCAGTGGAAAACCACCATCTCATGTCAAAGCAAAAAAAGAAAAGCACCTGATAAAGACTCTTGTGACCTACACAACCCTATTTGGTACACATTTCTCCAGGTTGAAGTATATAACCACATAACCAATGAAGCTAAGCTAATTTGAAGTTAGACCGCTATCGATACGTGTGAAAGTGGAAGTCGATATGTAAATACAAGTGTCAATAACACGATTAACATGGTTTCCGACTTAATCAATAAATCAAAAGTCATATATCTTCACTTTTCCAAAAGCTGCATCAGGTGTTCTAATTTTGTTAATTTTTTTAAATAAAGGTACGGAATGAACATATGATTAACCGAAAACCCACTTTGTATCATTTGAGAAGGCGCTTATTGGAAAAAAGAAGAGAGAAACCTCACAATGCAATTTCTTGAAGCATTTCCAGATGTTAATTATCAATGAGCCCGTTTATAATTTTGACTGTACAATATCATCGAATGAGGCAAACAACATCATATGCCACTCAACTATATAAAGGACCAGCCCTAAGCCTTTGGAGAGCTAAAGCTCTTTAGAAGAAGATGCTCTCTTCTGAAACAATGCACAACATGGATCACATAACTAAACTACTTCATGAAAATACATTGACTTTCTATTAGTTTATCTAGCTTTAAGGTATCTGGAAGATATATGGAACAAAGGGCCTATTCCTACACATCTCCCAATACACCAACATCAGAGCAATATTACATAAAAGGAGTTGCTCCCTCCTTAATCGTGCGGAGCAGTGTTGTCAAAAGCGAAAAACTCTTCTAAAAAGCGCTCCAGTTCGATTGGGGCTTTAAGCGCAAAGCGCAAGTAAAGTGTGGGCTTTTAGTTTAAGAAAAGCGCAACTAAGGAAAAAAAATATATACATATGTAATTCAAGAAAAAAGAAACAGACCCATTCCTAATGTCTTTGTCAACAACTAATATACTCATTTGCTGATAATATTTGTCGTTTAGCACCGCTGGATTCAAGATAGAACTCATGGGCAATGAGGCACACACCTTAGTGCTTTGCCTACATTGAAGCGCAACTTAAGCAAGGTGAAACGCCCTCCCTGGGTTTTTCTGAGCTTCAGGGCTTAAGCGCGCTAAAATGAGCCTTTGACAACATTGGTGCGGAGAAGCTTAACACCCACATTTACAATGTCACACTTGAAAGAGATACATCTTCATTTTCCCAAACTCAAAATTTTAGTAACTGCAGTTAAACAAAATCAAAGCTGGAAAAGGAAAAAGTTGAATCCAGACAAGTATTCTCTAAAGATAATGTAATTGAGCAAAATTCTACAAGTAAAGAATCACTTGTGTGTGTTCCCTTGATAAAATAGACAAACAGCACTTATATCTTAAAAATGATAGTAACAAATTTGAAAATCAATAGCATCATGCCCAGTTAGCAAACGATGCACGTAGAAGTTGACATCCAGCTTCTTCCATTGGCAACCTCGAGCTAATAGTTTTTTTTTTCTTTTCGATTAAGTTATAATCACTCAATAGCTAACAGAAATCTCATGGGTACACCAAAAGCTCACTAAAAACAAAAATTTCCCTTATCTAAGCCATCCCAAGTAAAGCTTCAAATCTAAATGTACTGCAGAATCGGATCTTTGAAGTGAAAAAGAAAAAAAAGCAATCCGAGAAACAAAAAGAGGGGAAAGTGCAAGTACTCACAGCCTTCTCGCGAGCCCCGGGTTCGATATGGATTCCACGTCGTGATCGCATCAAAGTTTCATCAGCTTTCTACAGTATGATTAAAAGAGAGATTTCTTAGAATCAAATCGTCAAACATTTGGTATTACCCATCAATAAATGCAAAAAGGGTAAACCCAAATGAAAAGTAAGAAAAAACCTGAGGATTGTGTCGAAGCTTAGACAAGGCTGTTTTGTTGAGCAAAAACGCCATTCTTTCACGAATCAAGACAGAGGCAGAGAGCAAACGCAGAAGAAGAAAATGATGATTCGAGTCTCCCGAGACAGCACCAAACAGGAAATTGCTAGTGTATATTTTTTGTGAAATGGGGTTTTGGAGGAGATGTGATTTACAGAGAACTCCCTAATTTCCATAAGAGGGTAAATAAACCCCTTAAAGTTTCAATTTGTACAGACAAATCCTGAATAAGATATAATGAAACGTATAATTATCTAAGATAATATTTATACTTGTTTGACCAAAAAATATAAGTCTTGGTTCAAATAATTAAATTTATATAAATAAGGGTTAATCTTAGCTAGCAATAATATCCTTAGATGTGGTTTTCAAAGAAGCAATAAATACTGGGCAAGTACGGTCGGACAGTGGCAGTGATATGTAGTGAATATTCCCCAAATCAGAAATAACAATGTAGCATTTAATAACAATAAACAATAATAAATGACATTTAAGTAAATAAAATAAATGTGTCACCCAAGAAAAGATAGAACGAGGGGATGTTCTTTCTGATGAATGATAGACAATCCCTTGAATATTTGAGTTATTCTCGATCTAGTGAAAAAGTGTAGACAAGAATCTCAGTGAAAAGGTGATGTTTGTATCTTAGCAATTGAGATCTGATTCTCTTTCTCAAGTCAAAGTGTGTTTTTTACGAATGAATATCACCTCTCATGTATCATTGTCTCTTTTTCTATTTATATGGGACATGTTCCTAAGAAACCTTAATAGTACAAGTGCAGAGAATATCCACTAGAATATCCTCTTTAATATCCTATCTTGAGAACTAGCCATTAAAGCTCTGTCGACGGTATTCAACCTCGACCTCGACCCTTGTTGACACCTTGACTACGACTCTCGTTGACTCTTCGACCACAGACTTCGCTGCTCCTCAGGCCATTTCGACAAATGACGACTTGGGAAATCTTCCCTTAGTACTATCTTGGCTTAAATATTCTAAAGACAGATTTTAACCCATACAGTTAGTCCCTCCGCTTATTGAGGTAAGTTTCTGTGATGACCTTAGGTCATCACTTGTTTTAGAAATAAATTCTGTGTTCTGAGGCTTTAAAAACCTCTTCATGTCTCACCTCGATTTGTGTGCATAGTGTGGGCGCATATCCGGAAAGCCATTATGTGAAAATCTGTGAAAAATGATGAATTTTGCATTTAGAATAAATATAGGTTGACTTCGATCAATAGTTTGGGTAAACGGACCCGGACCCGTGATCTGACGGTCCTGGAGGGTCCGTGGGAAAATATGAAACTTGGGCGTATGCCCAGAATCGAATTCCGAGATCCCAAGCCCAAGAAATGAATTTTTAAAGAAAATTATTTTCTGGAATATATATGAGTTTTTGGAAATGGAATGTGTTTGGAATTTGATGGTATCGGGCCCGTATTTTGGTTCCGGAGCCCAGTACAGGTCTTATATGTGATTTAAGTCGAGCCTGTAAAATTTGGTAAGAAACGGAGGTCATATGACGTGATTCGGAACCTTAGTTGTAAAATTTGAAACTTTAAAAGTTCTTGAGATTTTCTTTGATTTTGATGCTAAATTCATAGTTGTTGATGTTATTTTTGTGATTTGATTGCACGAGTAAGTTCGTATAATATTTTTGGGTTAATGTGCATGTTTAGTTTGAGCCTCGAGGGCTCGGGTGAGTTTTGGATAGGCCACAGAGTGAAAATTTGGACTTAGAAATTTCTGGTGTCTTACAGGCTTGCAGGCTTCGCAATTGCGAAGCCTAGCTCGCAAATGCGAACAATGTGTTGCAAATTTTGGCCTGGGCTGGCTTGGTCGCAAATGCGATGTATTTATCGCAAATGCGACAGCAGCATCGCAAATGCAAAGAGGACTGGAATCCTCAGGGTTCGCAAATGCGAGGTTAGCAGGTTCTGAAGGGTTTCTTAATTGCAAACCCTGGTTGCAATTGCGACATCTGCGACCTGCAAATTCATGACTTAGCCGAAAATCTTTCATTTTTCAAACTCTTTCAAAACATAAACTCTCTCGGGCGATTTTCCAAAGAAAAGTTCTTCTCCAAATCGATTGTAAGTCATTTATAACTCGTTTTCTTCAATCTTTAACATCTTTTCGCATGATTTCAACTCAAAATCAAGCGTTTTCATGGAAAAAATTGGGTGTTTTAGGTAGAACTTAGGTTTTTCAAATTTTGGGGATTTGGACCTCGATTGGAGGTTCAATTTCAAAACAAATTATATATTTGGGTTCGTGGGGGAATGAGTAACGGGTTTTGGTTCGAATCTCGGGTTTTGACCATGTAGGCCCGGGGTCGATATTTGACTTTTTGGGAAAAACTTTAGAAAACCTATTTTCATGCATTGGAATGGATTCATTTATCATTTATTGATACAGTTAAGTAACTTGTGGCTAGATACAAGCAAACTGGTGGTGGAATAAAGAGGTAAAGCGATAGTTGAGGCTTGAATTGTGTTCGTGGCATCGAGGTAAATGTTTGGTCTAACATTAGCTTGAGGGATTATGAGTTGTGTCCTATTTGCTATGTGCTAGTTGTTGAGTACGACGTATAGGCATGGTGACGAGTATCTATACGTTGGTGTCAAGCATGCCCGTGAGTCTTATATTATGATTGATGTGACTCTGTTTGTATTGTTCATGCTTTATGTGATGATTTCTATTGTTGAGCAAGGCTTGCGCAAGTGATATTTGTATTTGAACAATGAAGAGTGTTGGCTCAAGTTGTAAAGTGATTTGTGGAAGTATAATCGGCAATTGAACATTATAAAGCAGTGGCTCAAATTGTGAATTGAGTTGTGAAGTAAAGGTGGAAAAAAAAGAAAAGAGGATCATGATAATGTCTCCCTTGCCGGGATGTTGTTGTTTAATGTTGTCTCCCTTGCCGGGATGTTATCGTTGATATTGTTTTCCCTTGCCGGGATATGACTGTTGTACCATTGTTCCCTTGCTGGGATTTAATTGTATATTTGTTGATTTCCTTGCCCTTATTGCTTTGGGATTGTTGTTTGGGTGAGGAAGAATGTTAAAGCACGAAGGGTGATGCCGTGTATGATTTTGTGAGGAAGAGGGTAAAAGCACGAAGGGTGATGTCATGCCGCACGATGTATAATTTCGTGCCGATTATATTGATTCTTATGGTGAGGACGAGAGTAGAAACACGAAGGGTGATGCTGTGCACTTGTCTTGATTTTTTCGATTCTTGCTGATAATTGAGTTATGGTATTTTTTTTATGTTTATTTACTGATTCTCTGTCGTTGCTTGATTTTATTTTGATATTATTGATTCCCTTGCCCAAGTTGCTTTGTGATTGTTTCTTGGGTGAGGAAGAGTATAAAACACGAAGGGTGATGCCGTGTATTGTTTTGGTGAGAGAGTGTTAAAGCACGAAGGGTGATGCCATGCATGTTATTGTGAGAGAGTGTTAAAGTACGAAGGGTGATGTCGTGCACTTGTCTTTGGTTTTCTGATTTTTATTAATAACTGAGTTATAGTTTCTCTACATTTAACTGTTGGCTTTCTGTTGATACTTGTTGTACCCCGCAACATGACTCCCCCTTCCTATCTTCAATTGAACTTTGGTGATCCTTATATTTATCTGTTATTCTTTTGTTATTACTCGATGCTCCTCGCAGCATGTTTCCCCCTCCTATCCTTAACTGTATATTCTTGCTTTTATTTTTCGCCGTATATGATTCAACTGCATAGGTTTATTTGGTAGTCTGGTCCTAGCCTCGTCACTACTTCGCTGAGGTTAGGCTAGGCACTTACCAGCACATGGGGTCGGTTGTGCTGATATTACACTCTACACTGTGTGCAGATACTGGTACTGGAGCGTTTGGACATAATGAGGTTGCTGCCTTCAGTCCAACAGGCGATCCGAGGTAGTCCTGCAGGCGTCCGCGGGCCTTGGCGTCTCCTTCTATCATTTCTTATATCTTTTTACTTATTCAGAGACAAATTCGTCTATTTTTATTCAAACTTTATTTGTAGTAGTCTTAGACAGTCCATGAATTTGTGACGCCAAATTCTGGGTAGAGTTGTATTTAGCCTTCCACAGTTTGTGTTAAGTTAAATTTTCAGATTTTGTCTTCTGCTTTATTATTTCCGCTATTCGTATGATATCTACTCATCACTATTAATGGTTTAAAACTGGAAAAGGTTAAGTAATTAGAATAATTTGGCTTGCCTAGCTTTCACCAATAGGTGCCATCACGACTCCCGAGGGTGGAAAATCTGGGTCGTGACAAGTTGGTATCAGAGCTCTAGGTTACATAGGTCTCACAATTTACGGACAAACTTAGTAGAGTCTGAGGGATCCGTACGGAGACGTCTATATTTATCCCCCAGAGGCTATAGAGTTAGGAAAAGTTTCACTTCTATTCTTCTCTGTCATGTGATTTGTTCACTCACTCCTTTCACGAATGGCGAGGTCACGTACTGATTCTTCAACCGAACGACAGCACAGACTGGTGATAGATCAGCTATGTCTTCGGAGGCTGTGTAGAGGTTGGATAAGTTTCACCAAGTTCTTCACTACCAGTGCATCTTATGAGGATCCCCAGGATTATTAAGACAGTTGACATGAGGTTCACAGGAACATAGGGATAGGGGAGACCAATGGGGTCGACTTTGCTGCTTTTCATTTGTCTGGATCTGCCAAGACTTGGTGGAGAGATTATTGTTTGGCTAGACTAGCTGGATCACCAACTTCGACTTGGGATCAATTTTCTCAGCTATTTTTGGAGAAGTTTCTTCCTATCACTTAGAGGGAGAGATATTAGAGGTAGTTTGAGCATCTCTAGCAGGGTTCTATGATTGTTACTCACTACGAGACCAGGTTTATTGACTTGGCCCGTCATGCTCTTATCATACTTCCCACTAAGAGAGAGAGAGAGTGAGGAGGTGCATTGAGGGACTCGTTCAGCCCGCTCATCCAGCCAGAGGTGGAGGTAGAGGTGCTAGAGGTGGAGGTAGAGGTAGAGGTGCTAGAGGTGGAGGTAGAGGTATTAGAGGTGGAGGTAGAGGTATTAGAGGTGGAGGTCAGGCCGCTAGAGGTGGAGGCCAGCCAGCAGTA